AAATGATTACGTTTTACAGAGGAGTTGTTAGATCGCGCGAATATCTATCTTAACATGCATGGTAGGCATTCCAAATAAGTTACTATCTCGCATACACTTTTCATAGGCTAGGTTTTTATGGATATCTGCAGCGATTGCAATGGCATACATCGAAATGCCCGAATGCGCAGAAGCGATAGGCAGTGACACGTGTGCATGAGTACACAGGATGCAGATGGCAGCAACATGCAGCGATGTGCAATCTAGATACAGCCCGCAGGGATGACTGATCCACATAGTCATTTGGACTTTGCAGTCCCACGGAAGCAAATTCAATATATTGCGGATATTCACATACGCTCATAAGATAAATATATATACTCAAAATCCTCAAAAATATACCGAAAAAAAATTATTAAATTTTAATAAATATTTGTTGGAATAATACTAACTAAATATTTACTGTAAATCTGAAAATATACTTATTTGGTATAAAAACCATTAATTTAAGTAATAATTTTTTGTATTGAGTAAATATTTATTTACTGTAAGTAAATGTTTAGGTAGTACTATTTAAATAAACATTTATTAAAATTTAGTAAATATATATTTTCAGTGTATCACTGCAAAAATACTATTCTCACTTTTAAAATATCTTTATTTTTGATATATAGAACTTGAAATAAGATTATTTAGCGCTAAACCGACATAATTTGCTTACATGAAAAAATTTGATCTAGTTATACCAAGAAAAATGTTTTCGTTATTCAATAATAATTGTCTTAATTTGAGAGGGAATAATATCGATAGAAAATTACAATGTCTTCAAATCGAAAATTAGAATATAATATTGTTGATATAAGAATATATGATTTAATATAAAAATATATAATATTGTTGAAATTTGAGATTATTAAAAATTCTTTAAAAAAGATTTAATATTGCTGCTTTTATATATTCAGGGTGGGGCATTTTAATCGCCCCAAGCGAATATCTCAGAAATTAAAAGAGAGATACAAAAAAAAGTTTTTTATATAAAAGTTGTAGGTTTTCTTAGGGGAAAGAAGGTGGACATAAACGGGTTTTGAATAGGGGGCACTACCAAGGTCAGGTCAGGGTCAACATGAATTTTTTAAATAAAAATCCTAATTTTTTATTGCATATTCTTATAGCACATCTCGAGAGCTTTCCAAAACGCTATAATAAAATATTTTTTCATGAAGTACTTTTCGAGTTATAAGTCTTGAATGACAGTTTCGCCGGCAATAACATTCGCCGGCAACCCAAGGTGTCCGACCGACGCGACGGCTACAACCTTTTGAATGTTGTTCAGGATCAAGACCTGGATAACGTTTGTCAAGATCAAGGTCATTGGAGATTGTTCCTCTGATTTTCATTTTGATTGCACAAAAATTCATTTCTACGTAAAAATAAAAATAAGAAGTACAATCTCCAATTTCCTTAATCTTGACAAATGTTATCCAGAACATGATCCTGAACAACATTCAAGATGTTTTAGCCATCGGTCGGACATCTTGGGTAATGCTAATGCCAGCGGTACTGTAAACCTTATAACTCGAAAAGTGCTTCATGAAAAAATATTTTATTATAGCGTTTTGGAAAGCTCTAGAGGTGTGCTACAAGAATATGCAATAAAAAATTGGGGGTTCCATTTAAAAAATTTATGTTGACCCTGACCTGACCTTGGTAGTGCCCCCTATCTAAAATCCGTTATTTCCACCTTCTTTTCTCCAAGAAAACGTACAACTTTCATATAAAACTTTTTCTTGTATCTCTCTTAGTTTCTGAGATATTCGCTTGGGGCGATTAAAATGCCCTACCCTACTATGTATATATACACAGGGTGGGGCAAAAAATTATTCTCAATTTAAATTGAGTTTTAAATTGAGAATAATTTTTTTCTTTGATACTCATACACATGTTCTGTCATAATGCAACAAACGTATGAGGAAAAGTAGAAGTAAGTTATACACAACCTAATTCAAAAATAATAAGAAGAATAAGAAAAGAAGATCCATATATTACGTATTTAATATAACAGGATAACAAAAGCTAGACTCATTTTTTATTCATATTCCTTTGAAAAATTTAGAAACAATACGTGCATATACACTTTGATTTGTATTCCGCGATACAAAGATTTTCTAAATCATAGGATATTAGCTACATTTTTTAATAATCATCGCGTCGTGCTCTCGATACATATAAACGTGCGGTGATTTTAAATAACTTGTTCACACACACAATTGGCATATAAAATTTTATATTTATACTTCAGTTATGAAAGACGCACAGTCGCACAGCAATGCTGACAAGCAGATGCTAATATCACAAACATACTAGATACACTAATGTTATTTTAGAAAATAATCCGACATACAAAAAACGTTTTACCCGAGGAGCGTATCTGATTTGGTAAATAAATTTTTGAATTTTGGGTGAACACACACTAACGCACAACGCGCCCTCTCAATATCAATACCGGAACATTATTATTACACCCAGTATGATCACAATACCGCGTTCACATCCCACTCGATATCCTTCTAGCTAGTTTATCGCGCATCCCCTGGCGCTGCGTCGAAAATTGCAGCGTGCAACGTCGAAGATAAACGACTGTGCAAAGCGCGTGGCGTGTACGCTCGTGTGCATGCACGTTATTTATACTCGGGGCCACGCGTGCACCATGAAACTGGCTTATTAATATTGCCTTTCTCGACTGAAAGTAAGTCGTGGGGTAGATCGGAGTTAACCATCGCGGCTCCAATCGACAATACGATTTCGGAAATTAAGAACTTCCTGTTTCGCATACAAGACACGGGATTTAGTCATTACATCTTTGCGGAAGTTGTCCGTTAACTCCGCCATTATGACTCCACCGAACAAACGTAAACCGCGGAAATAGAAGGACGGACGAAGCGGTGTATTTCATTCGCGAAGTTAAACACAGTAGAATTAAGTTTCTTCCTTTTATGAAAATGTTACTTGACAGCTGACTTTTATTCCAATCTAATTAACAAATTTTAAAAGAAAGTAATATATTATAAATTTATCATACACACAAATATGTCTAGTACTCAACAGAATTAATAAAATATTAAAATATTTTTTTATTGAAAAATGTTTTAATATTCAACGTTTCAATGAAATGTTTCATTGAAACGTTGAAATTAAAAAGATTTGACACGAGACTCAACCGATTTTTAGATCAATGTGTCGATTTTTGTTTAATTCGCTCTTGCGAATTTTTGTATCCGAATTAAAATTTAATTTCTTGTAATTTTATAATATTTCACATTCATATCTTTGACGAATAAATGTATATCTTGAGATATATATATATAGTCATAAAAATGCTATCTTTTCTCTTTTAATTAATTATAGAAATACACGAGCTTATTATATAATGAAGCCATATATAGTAGAAACGTCTTTTATCAAAGTACTCATAATCAAATACACAAACAGTCAAGACGAGCGATTTTCTAAAGATAATCTCGATGCTGTTACTTCAATTTATAGTGTGTCTACAGAACTAGGCGAATGTTGAGCGTCGATCTGTGACGTTGATCAGTGCACGCGATTCATCTATGGCGAACTTGGAACCGCAACTTCGGAATTTGCGAATACTTTTATTCGTTGGTGTGCACGCTATATGTTACATTGATACGCGTCTATAAATCGTAGATCATGGTAAATGCTCTTTGTTTTATTGCGGAAATATATGTGATTAGACAGAGGAAAGCACATACATATTTGTTAACGATAAATATGTAAATCTACATATTATATACAGAATGTATGTAATCCATTGTACTTTTTTAATCTGTGATTAAATTCATAATGTAAAATTATATTAAATTTAAGTTATTTTTAATCATGTCTATAGTTTGTCACTGTTTCTATTCAATAAATCGTTAATTTAACTAAAACTATGAAGTAAAACAATTTAACTTAAAAAAATATATGAAATTTCATACTCTTTAGTTTATTACTTATTAAAGCATACGTTAATATAAACGTTTACTTTGAAACTAACCACAGAAATGGATTGATGTAGACACATGGAAAAAAGTTGAAAATAGTAAAATATTATTCAATTCAGGAAATTGAGTTACAACTGCTCTTTTGATATTTAACATTACAGAAATAATCTGAAAGATATTACAGATTACTAAAGAAAAATTTAAAAACCTTTCAATTGTATTATATATTAATTAAAACTTTTTAGATACTTATTACTTTAATATTTAATCACTTTAATAGTTAATCACCTTTAAAGTTATTTTAAAAAATTAGTTTGGTATAGAATTAAAAAAAATATATAAAATTTTATAGACGTAGCAAGTATAGAAACGTTAATTAAATATGTATGATATATTATTTTAATGTGCTCAAGAATATATTATTGCTTCTCTCACGACTATTCAAGACTTCTGATATATGTCACATTATCTGATATGAGTATCATCTTCATGACAGGATACGTGTACTGATGCACGTTTAATTTATACATCACCGATATTAATATTAATAAAATGGATAATATAGTGATATAGAATATTAATATATATATATATATATAATGTGAATAAAATAGTAATATGGAATACGCTTGCGCCAAGATATTACACTGATATTACATAATATTACATATTATACATATAAACCGTGATTATTAAGACTAAAAAAATTAATTATAATATTGTTTTTTATTAATTCTTACTACTAAATAGATGAACAGAATAAATAGAAATCAGTTATTGTTCTTTCCAAAAGAAAAAAATTCTAGATTAAAAAAATATGAAAGATCTGTAAGAATATCTTAAAGATTAGCGCATTTTTTTTAGAAATAGCATAAAAGAACAGAAATAATAAGAATATAACAAAGAAAAAGATTTAAAAAGGACATAGGACGAATTCGATTAAACATTGAAGACCCGAGGGAAAATTAGTCCAACGCCGAATGAAGAAACTGAAGAAAATAGTTGGGCACTTACGACGTCGATTATTTGCATGAGCGTGAGGCCGAAGTTCAGCACGAGGGGTTCGGACTCGTTGCCCACCGGCCGCTCCAGCACGTTGTATGTGTCCAGCAGGTCATTCAGCAGCCTCTTCTCGTGCAAACCGCCACTTACCAGCCCTGTGTCCAATCACAATCAGCAGTCAGTGAGAAGTTGCACGCAATCAGTTGCGACGATCTCTCTCGTCCATGTCGCTTGCGTCGCATCGCCTCGCTTCGGGGAAAATGCAAGAAATGGGAGCGGGATAACTTAGGAATGACTACCTTCCCCCCTCTCTCTCTTCCCCCCTATCTCTCTCCCTCCCCCTCTCTCTCTCTTTCATTCTATTGGTGTCCAAGCAACGTTTATCTTCTTACGACTGCACGAGCCCAAACCTACTCCATCTATCTACCTATCCCATCGCTTCTGTAGCCACCCCAATCCTCGGAGTTCTCAACTACTTTTCGTGAATACACTTCGCGAATACAACTTTGTGAACACTCTCTCTTTCTCTGTCTCTGCCCCGTGGTCTCTCTCTTTCTCTCTCTCTCTCTTTCTCTGTCTTTCCTTACCCTTTCCTTATTTCTTTGCTTGTTACCTATCCCTTTCTCTCTCTAAGTTTCGCTTTTTCCCCATCCCTTGCCTGCTTTCTACCATTACGACCTGCAGTTTATCTTTCTTGAATAAATCACTCTTTTTGTTTTTTTTTCTTTAAACTACGCTACCGCTTTTTTATTACACGGCGTTTCCTCAGAGCCCTATCTCTTCTTCTTTGCGTTCTTTATTTATTTTTAACTTTACCACTTTCTCTCTCTCTCTCTTTCTCTCTCTCCATATCCCATTACAAATAAACGTTTTGATCAATCGAAGTATGAACCAAGAATTTGTGGTAAAGTTTAATAACTTTCGAGTAATTTGTTAGTGTTATTAACGACTTAAAAGTTTTTACATCTTTTAATGTGTTTATTATCTGAAGAAACTTAATAAATCTAACTTCGTAATTAACTTTACAAGAACGATTTGAAAATTTTTTACGTAGTTATGTTCATCTTACTTATATTTGTACATTTATTGTAGAAATTAAATAAAACGCATTTATTATTGCTTTCATTTTAGGAAAGCGTGTCGAAATAAAAATATAGCATTCAGCTGTCTAAGTGTTATGAATTTGTCGTGTTAAAAATTCTCTCCTAGTAATTAATAAGTATTAAGTCGATTCATTGGATTAATGCATAGATTAGTGAAGTATTTGGACTTGTAAATAGCTAGTGGATATATCGAGGATCTGATACTTGGGCTAAAGTTTCATATTGCAGCAGAAGTTTATCGACACTTATCGACATCTGGAGGAATAAGATATCGTAAAGTTGAACTGGCTTAAAGCCGAACAAGTGTACCAGTAATCTTCCATTAATCAAAATCCAAACGAAGATGCAATATCTGCATTGAAATTTTTAACAATATACAACTCTCTTCGTGACATGAATTTTATTAATTTGTACATTTTTATACTTGCTATTATGTTTAATGAACATATACCACAGTTACATAATTTCCTATTTCGGCTTAATTTAATTTTTCTCAAGAAATCAATATTTTTGATAAAAATTCGATGATTTTTATTATCTTAATAATCGAATTTCGAAATAAAAAATTAAATAATGTTGAAATATAAACAATAAATTGAAAATTATAGAAAAATTTTCATCTTAATATATTTATTGCTTATAAAATACGAAAGTACTGAAAGTTTTACATTAATTTTTTTATTGTTCTTAATTGTTAATATGTAATATCATTTTCTTTCGGCTGTAAACACCGAGTTAAAAAGAATATTCTTTATTTAGTATCGAGAAAATTCTTTAGTTTAATTTATTTATTGCATGTAAAATATTTTCGTACTTACATTTAATATAAAATAACATTAAAATTGAGTAGTTGAATAATACTGTCACTAGTCTTTGTATTATATCTACATTTAAGATAAAATAACACGTTTGACCGTGATATATAGATTGACGTTCTTCTTCGTATAAAATAACATGTTAAAATTGAATAATTGAATGATACTTTTATAATTATTTTGATATTTATACATATAAGAAAAAGTATGTTTGTTGAGTCTTTTTAAGATAACTTACTAAAAATTATTCACATATATTATTTGTTGAATTTTAAGAAAATTTAGATGTTTCTTTGTAAAAACTAATGATTGTTTATTAGAAGTACGATTTAGAAATCCACTTTAAAAATGATACAATTTAACGATCCAGTCTTGAAATCTAAAAGCTACTTTTTTCAATTTTAATTTAACCTTTTGTAGTCACACCTACTCTAAAGAGATTTTATATTGGTCACACAAGAGGCAAAATGATTCAAACATTTTAATTAATTGCCATATTTACAGCTTTCGTTCTTTAAAATCACAAAAATTACTGAACAAACTTTAAACATTGTAGAATATGGAAATGCAGTGGCTTTTTTCTTAAAGTTTTTAATTTTAACATATTGTATTTAAAAAATTGCAAAGGCTGACATTCAAGGAACAATATACGGTTAAAGGTGCAAAAATAGTATTTTAAACTTCGGATAAATGACAGTTTAAGTTCCATTTTAAAAAAGATCTTAGAAATATAAAATCTCACACCTTTTTGGTGTCTTCTGAACTCCACGTGACCACGAAGAGTTAAACAATATTTCTATGTTTATTTCCATAAAAGTGTTTTGTTTTATTATCAATGAACCAAAATTTGATGTAAGTACAAAAATATTCTGATCTCTTCAGTATTTTTGTTATAATTTTGTTTAAATTTAAGGGGTACGATATAAGTAATTTCCTCCTATAAAGTCTTACTATACTTCGTACTCGTATCGTTAGCATTCGCTCTTTCTCGCGTGTCTTTCCGGTGGAGAACGCACGGAATTTGCATTCCATATATGCATTTGCACTGCAGCCCACCCACGAAAGTTGGAACAAAGGCGCAAGGACGAATTTAAGCACTGCGAAGCGAATCCGTAGACAAGTAAAAATACGAGCAATTACAGCATGAACATTCGCGCTGTATAAATCTCTTCTACAACGAACACAGTTACATCGTGATAATCGCGTCTAGGGACAAGAATCCTTGTGTTAATGTAATTTACAGAATATTATCAAAGCACTATTTAACAGAAAATTAATTTATCTTTGCACTACTTTTTAATATGAACATACTTTTCACATAATAAATATAATTATCATATCTCTAATGAAATCACAAAATAGTGATTTATTGTAGAGATGGAATTGAATTATATTGTTTGTAATGCAGAGGCAGTGTTAAATTATATTGCAATATTACACATTACAATTATGTATAATAAAGTTATTAAATCAATGTACATAACTGTATTACCAATCATTAATATAGTAGTATTATGAGAAAAATGATCTGGTTGGATTAAATAGTAATTCTGGTGAAAAATGGATGAACGAGAATTTTCTAGTTAAATCTATTAGAATTCTAGTTGAGATAATTAAATTTCTGATATCGATATAATTATTCTGGTAAAAATAAAAATTTTAGTATATACAATAGATTTTACCACAAATATTGTGTCAACCAGAATTCTGGTTATCTCAACTAGAATTCTAATAAATTTAATCAGAAAATTCTGATTCGTGCATTTTTTTCAATCAGAATAATTGTGATCGAGATAAATATTTTTGCTAAGATAATAATTTCATGAAAGATTCATGTTACTTTAATAAAACTTATACAATATTTCGGAATAATGTAATGTGCACAATGGAAAACCAAAGTTTAATATTATAACTTTAGCAAGTAATGTTCTTGTTTAACCTTATCTCAATTTTGTGAATACAAAGTATTAAATATGACTGCATTTTCTCGCGACTGGCGGCATCTTGTAGTATCCTTCTACAGAATGATGAAAAATTCACGTGCTAGTTTCTTTCCGCTTACGAGAAATTCTCGTTATCCGTGCGGCATCGTTCTATTTCTGTCGTGCATGTAACGAAAAACGCTACGGCGTAAGGTAAGCCAAATTGTAGTAAAATTGGTAGACATATGGCATCCTTGGGAAATACAACAGATAATTGAATTCATGAATGCTAAAGAAAGAAGGGACAAAAGCGACTTCAAGATTTCACTGAAATACCACGTAAAGTTCGCCTCCAAGTTTATGAAAAATGAAGTGCTGCGCAGAGTATAAAATGCAAAGCACAAAGAGTTGAAACGCAGTTGATTATTATATAAATAAGCCAAATAAGAAATAAATGAAGCAAATAAAATGGAACTTGAAAATTATGAATTTTCCCGGAATTTTTAATTATTTGCATTTTAAGTTTTATTTATTTTACTTATTTGAACAGCAATAATCAATACACCCAAATCGCAAGTTTTTTATATTTTAAATGCAATTTTTTCGATTTTTTAATAAAATCGGCATTCAATTTCATATACTGTAAAATGATCTTATTTCCTAATCAATAAACTGTTAGCTTTTACTTAAAAATACGAGAGATAACTTTTCTATTTTCTATTTCTAAAGTTTAAATAGAAAAGATCTTGATACTTCAATCACCTCGACTAAATCGCTTCAACATTTCTCATCCAAGTTTAAGCTGCAGCTTAACGATAACATTTTATCACCCGAAGTAGGCAAGACCGTTGAGTTTCATACGCGGCCGTTCACACGGAATTCCGTGGTTATGATCGCGCGATGCATTTCATTTCGCGTTTTTTGGAAGATCGAGCGGTTTTTATGAGTTAAGCTTGCACGAAGCGAAGAAAAGAATCGCTGACACATCTAAAGACCAGATGATTTCAACCGAAGAATGAATTTTAATGGAAATGATCGTCACAAAATGCACATCTATGAATATATAATATTGCATTTTGATGATGTACTGTAGTCGCGCCGCGAAAAGATTTTTGAGATGACCAAGATGATCATTCTATATATTCTCGTTTCTATTTGTTATATTAATTACTTATATGTACGTGTAATTAATATATTATATAATAATATAGGAAAGAATTTTATTATTATTATTATATACTACAAATATAAAAAATTGTATTAATTATTTAATAAAGAAAAGTTTTATTTATTATTTCAAGATCTTTTTCTTGCT